AATGGAGGATAGCCCTAGTATACCTGGATGATGTCATAGTGTTTGCAACAACGTTTGATGAGGAAATGTCCTGGCTAGAGGAAGTATTAAAGCGTTTGAAAGCAGCAAACCTCAAACTCCTCCCATGAAATGCCATATGTTCCAGAAAGAGGCGCTTTACTTGAGTCACATTGTAAGTGAGCATGGTGTGTGAACTGATCCTGACAAGGTGAAAGCAGTACGTGATTGGATAACACCAGACAATGTGGGAGAGTTATGAAGTTTCTTGGTACTCGGTACCTATTACTGGAAGTTTGTGAAGGACTTTGCAACTATAGCTGCGCCACTACACGATTTGACAAAAAAAGGCCAGAAGTTAGAATGGACAGTTTTTTGCCAGTTCAGGACATTGCAAGAAAATTTGCCTCAGCTCCACTTTTAAAGCTTCCAAATCCCTCACTGCTGTACATACTGGATTGTGATGCTAGTAATGTCGGAATTGGAGGATTGTTGTCTCAGAAAGTGGGCGAAAACGAACATGTGGTGGCTTACTTCAGTAGGGTCCTCATTAGACCAGAGAAGAACTACTGTGTAACACGAAGGGAACTCCTTGTTATAGAAAAGAGTCTGACATATTTCCATCCTTACCTCTATGGGGATAGGTTTACCATGCTGCATTACGCTGGTTAAGATCATCAAAGAACCCAAAGAGACAACTGGCACGTTGGATCGGAAAGATAGACCAATTATGATATTGAATACAGAGAAGGGAAAATCTCTTGGAAATGCCGACAGACTGAGCCGAAGACCCTGCAAAAATGATTGCAGACATTGCTGCAAAAGAGAGGTTGAACTAACCAGGTGCCATCAAGCTGAAGTCAAAGTGACTGAAGGAGTTGATGATGGTAAAATGGAACCAAGTATAGATATTAAACAGAACAGGAGAAAGACCAATATTTGAAGCCAATAATTGAATTTCTACAAGCAAGTGTTTTGCACCCTGCTTGGGAGAAGGTGTCTAGCTTACGCCCTGTGACAAAGACTTATTGGGTACAATGGGACCTGTTGAAGTTTGAAGATGGTATTCTGGTCTAGAGATGGGAAACTGTAGATGGAAAAGTGACGACCTGGCAAACAGTTATACTGAGAAAGGTACGGAAAGTTGTGCTGTGTCA